TTTTATAAATACATGTTTACTTAATTTTAATGTGTATCAAAAGGGAGTATAAAAAAGTCCTCGATGCGATAAATTCGGCCTTACCCCCTATGAATTGTACTGACCCTCTCTGGTTCCATAGTAGGTCAGTAACAAACCATATAACTAATAATGTGTACCTTTTAGTGAACCACTGTGATAGTCAAAAGTTTATTCAGTGACCGCGTACACACGTGCACGATCGACAGCGAATACATATATAAAGGACAACTTGCACACTCAAAGGGGTTAATATAGAGATACATATGTCAAGTCCGTAAAGACGTGATTTTAAACATAAGCAGGCATCAAAAATGTTCATACCTATATTATTTAGTACTTGTAATTCTATGTGCAGATATCTAGTTACATGAGAAAAAAGACATACAGGCACTATAAACAGTAAAATGGTTTTGAAACACTTATAAAATGGCACCTACGGACTGATAATTCTACTTCCTGACAATTTTGTTCTCTTTCCCCTTATCAGCCGTCTTCCTTCGACACTCGTGTATTTTTGCGAAACAGAATGAGCGTTGTTTACAAATTCTTCATATGATTTCCCTTTACTAACCTGTTTATGGTAAAGGTGCCAGCTAACGCTTTTCGTAATTTCGAGGTTCTATTTAAGGACTCGCAGAGCTAAATCAGCCGATCAGTCAGTGTTCCATGCGATTGTAATCCATACCTGGCACCCACAGACTGATATGAGGAGTGACATGTTCTGTTCTACAATTATTGAGTGTTATCTATACACTTATAAACACACTAACCTAACAAGCACTCCTTGCTATTTATTATGGTTTACATGCACAACATTCGATTACTGCACCGGAGCGTTACACTGACCATGCATTTACAGACATTGTTGAAGGCTACGTAGGATAAATCACACAAAATAGCTTTGGATATCCTGTCAGGTTACATTAAAGATATTTCATTCTAGTTGTAGCATAACATTAAAATCTTTCTTATTTGACTTAGCCGGTTGGTAAAATATGCAATAATGTGACGAAATGATCACGAAGTAACGCCTGCATATCTTAATGAGGGCGATGGTGTCAGTGCTGTGACTGTTACATGAATTTCAATAGGAGTTCTCACCTGATGCCTTAGCCAACGTCAACGTTCTCAGTACTGACCAGATGACCAGCGGGAATATGTAGCGGTAAAGCCTCATGTCTGGTCGGCTATAAGTCAAACACCTAATCTGTAAAACAGCTTACTAACCAGGAAGTTCAAACAGGTCTAGGATACAAAACACAGGTATTCATTGAGGATTACACCTGACTGATTTAGAATCGGTAAAGTTGTTAATATACATCGGTAAACCTAAGCTCTTCTGTATACACATTAATGCAAAGAAGTAATAATGACAGTGCAGACGACAACTGAGTTTGTCAAATTTTAGTTATTCATTTTGCACATAAAAGAACGGGGCGATCTATTTATTTCATATACTTTGGATAAAATAGCACAATAATATAGAAGTTGAACCAAGATTCGTTTAACATTTTAAATAACTACAAAAGTAAGGCTTAAAGTGTACCGATCCATTTGATATATATACATATCTTAATCCTCAGTGAATACCTGTGTAATTGTATCCCTAGACCTGTATAAACTTCCTAGTTGGTACATGCATATATATATATATATAACGAAAAACAAATAACAGAAAAAGTCTCTTAGCCTTTAACTGAGTGCACATTAAATTAGGACGTCATCAATACTATCAAGTCACAAACAATACAAAGTATGGGATATCCCTTGTCTCCCTTTCACGATAATTGTCTTATAAAAATACGTTTATTGTGAACTATTCAGACCGGGTTCTTTGGTTTCCCTTTTTATAACATTGGGAGAATACATTTAGTATATAGGGATAACCGTGAATTTTTTGTTAGCACAATTATGAATATGTTCGTTAACATGTAAAACATTTAAATCATCATGTAAGGTTTGCTGTCAGTGTAGTGCCTTTCTCTGTTTGTATCGGCGTCATAAATGTCGCGCCGTGTGTAGGGAACCATGAAATAATCCTCGATAACCATGGACAGAAACCAGAAATCATTAACTAAATAAATCAAGCTACCTTCTGAACATTTTCCTCTCCTACATTCTATCCTTTTCAGTCATGTTTCCGTTGGCATCTGTGAATCTCTTTCAACACAGGACACGCGTCGTTTACAGTTGCACATATTCTTCACATCATCTCCCTTTACCAACGTTTCTATGGTATATTTGCTTACAGGTGCCAGCTGCTGCTTTTCGTAATTTCAGGAATCCATTTAAGAAAATATCAATGTCTAGACCCCCCCCCCCCCCCCCCCCCAGTTTTTTTTTCTATTGTCATTATTTATTCTGGTAAATGAACTAAGTATTATAATATCTAGTGGAGTTTATTTATAGGTTAATCAGCCATCAAATCTAGGAAGTAGTCTATTGTTTTCCTTATCAGATGGTTACATACATTTGACTCATTGTACTCCGAACTCCGATTAAGACTATAGTTTGTGGCAAGGTTCAAAGTAAAACGATACCATAAAGTAGGATATTATATGTAACGATACACAACATTTTAAGAGGGAGAATGATGCCGAATTTGAATTGAGCATAGGTTTATGTGTATCAATGATTTTCTGTTTACATATACTCGGGACTATGATTGGGATATATTTCTGCTGAAGCATATGATATATTTTTGGTTATACTTGTAAGGTGACATAAACAAAAACATCAACCAGAAAATGAGGTGTCCATATTCTTGCGTTTATAGTGGTATACTTTTAAAACAATACTCACAATACAGTACTGTACAGTATATGCTAATAAGATACACGATATTAATGTAACCCTACCGGAAATGTTCAAATACATCACAGTTGATATAAATCAGATCATTCAGACATAAAAAACATCCAATCCGCAAGAAAAAGAAGATGTGTTAATATGCAACGACAGAACTTGTTTGTAATCCTTTAGTAACATGAATTTGGCCAGTAAGAATCAATTGGTATATATACGTGAATACAATTTGTCAGTTTTCTTTCCAAGGTCAATATGAAAAAAGTCAATATGATTTCAGAAGCAGTGTAACCTAATAAATTACATGTAAAATACAGTAATAAAATACATTATATTATTTTTAAAAGATACAGCTCTATATTGATTTACTAGTTGATGCAGAGTGTGTTTGCCTCATTCACGTGCATACTAATGATACATGAACATTTTGTTTCTTCCATAATGTACATGTATATAACTCAACCTGATCTCCACCTGATAGTGAAATTGACCATGCGTTAGATGTACACGAACAGGGCAGCATCTTATGCTACTCAGTAAATATGCTATACATATGTAACTTAAATTTATATTGAATACATACCAGTTTTATTCTTACGGTTTTCCAACAGTCTCAACTACAAGCCAGGTAATTTCATATGGACTTTGAATAACGTCTCGCTCAACATGTTAAATATCTGCATCTCCGATCACGTATGGTCTTGCTAGGCACTTAGTTATTGGTGATTTTTATTTATTGTTAATGAACGAGAGCTTTTTATGAGTGAGATACCTTCTTGCATTATTTTCTTGATTATAACTTTTACTATTTGTTTGTTGTTGTTGATAATTTGTTTGATAAAACTCTTTCTTTGGGCCCATGAAGATAAAGATATCTATTTGTTCAATGCATATTATGCTTTACCTTAACAGTGACAGGATATATGACACATGTTTGGGTTCTACAGTAATAAAACTAACGTTTAGATATTGTGACAACGTAAAAAATCACACAAGAATTGACAACAATTTAAAGGTTCATCACCTACATATTATTGTGCTAAGTTATGAGACGAAGTCATCACAGCAATAACTGTAGGTGTGTAAGTTAGTTCCAGTAACACGGTTACGTTGTGTTGAAGGATGGAACTATCCAGTTAACAAGAACCAGTGCCCTAAGTTTTCTCGTCAACATCTGTTGTGTTGTATATATGAGGAATTTCCACCTCCCTGCGTCCAAGCTGTTCATAATTTGCCTCAGTGCGGGAGATCTGGGCAATGGTTTGTTCCTTGTTTTGAGTTGTTATTTCGTCGTAGGTATTATCTGGAAAATGCAACACAAACATAGACTGATTTTTATTCTGTTAAGATGATTGTAATGTTATTAACATGAGAAAGTAGGCCGTAAAGTTGATATATCCTAACACCGTTCGAAGTTAGTTTGAAAGCAGGAAAAATTGTAATCAAGGTATCGCGGTTTCCTTTTTTACAAACCATATCATTTTGGAAACTATTGCTTTTTTCCATTGTAATCGCTCTTGTTGCAAACAATCGTTTCAAACGATTGATAGTTCTTATGTGAATATACAAGTGTAGTAGAATCGGGAAAGAAATTGCTTCTGTGTAAAACAACTGAAACATATTTAGATTTGCGTTATAGTTTGCTTTTATTTATCATACCGTCACATAGATGTTCACCTTGATCTTTATTTAGCTCGTTTGCAGTTCTGGACAATGATATATCTGTCATACGAGAAGCACCTGCGGTGTCACCTCGCTTCATCGTCAGACGTCTGGCCAGTACAATGATCACGATGACTAGAACCAGTATAACCACTCCTGATCCAGCGCCTATTCCAACTGCGGCGTGTAAGGCGTCCCCTTTCGTTATAATTACCACTACAGCATACAAAGTGATGATTTGTACTGTGTATGCCATGGATTTCCCCTTAGTTATCATTTTGTATGTGTTGTCCCCCCTTTTCATTTTTCGAGTTGGGGTGTCTCTTTGTTATTATATTCTTCACATAAGGTTGAAATTTAATCTTATAAATACACTAAATACTGAACAGATCACTTTTAGAAACTGTTTGATAGGATAAAGTCCCAAATGTATAAAAAATATTACCTTTTGTGTCACATGTGTCTCCAGTCCATCCTTCTGTACATCCTATCGCACAGTCCCCCATATCCTTGTCGCAACTCACACCTTGACAATTGCCACACAACTCTGAACATTGGCTGCCATAAAAACCGGCTACACATACTACAAGCGCAAGCATACTCAGACGTCATAAAAAATCCTGAATAAATAGTACTGTACATGGTAATTTGATTTGTGTATTTCAAAATAAAAAGAGGCGATACTAAAGTATTATACAAAACGGTATTTTAAATCAAAATTGAAGGAGCAAGGGAAAATATGAAAAAATAAATAAAATATTGAGATGGCGACCCCTAGACAGTTCAAGGAGAATAAGACCCTGTTCTTATGTGCACTTGGGTATGATCAGTTTTCAAAATAAATTATGATGGTCATATGAAAAATTGCTCATTATCTCTAATTACAATGCCAGCTTGAACTTGTCAACGTTTGTCAATTTCAAGATTGAAAATCCAGCAATATTAAATACGACCCCATAACACAAAATATTTTTCGTCGTTGTAATTTTTGATAAAGATAGTTTATGGTACAATTAAAACATAATATGTATACAGTGTCAGAAAGATTAGACCCAGAGCGCGGGGTAAATATGTAATCGAGACTTTGCAGGGGAGCTTGGGTCCCATTTACACACCCCCTTACCCAAACTAGGATCTGTTCCTGTAAGGATTATGATTTTTGGAATTTTACTTTTTATTAGTCTTTTGGTACAATTGAACATAACGAAAAGTGTAAACTGGTATAGCATTAACGAAGTTGTTAATCCCATCAGATAATTCGATTTAATAGGCGTACGATTTTCTAGAAAATGACATATTTTTTCCACCTACATGTCATTTGGGATTTTGCATACAAATTCTCGTTAGTCGTATCTATAGTCATTTTATTTATCTATTGCTTTAGGACGAACACAAAGTATTAGCTCTTTTTATCGGAAATCATTTTAATGGTGGATATATTACAATATCAGTTGATATACTATTCAACTTAATCAACGAAGTAATTATTAATTATTCTTTTGATATTCTAATTAATCCAAAAAGATAAAGTAAACATTAAATGATCAAACATTTTTTTCGTTGAATCAGCATGTTTGTATAAAGTACATGTTTAGCTCCGACTTTTGCCTGCACGTTCCTACCTCAAAATACTAACTCCTCAGTATGAAGTTTTCATTATTTGTCACAGTCATCTTAACTTATTATCATGTACCATTGTTATAATCAAGAAAACATGATAAAACTGATAAAAAGTTATCCTCTATTGTTTTATTTATTTATTTATCTTTTTCTATTGATAGGTTCAAGTAGGTATGAGAACTGTTAAACGAGATATTGATACTTGATCACATTTAGTTAATATTGATAAACGTTTCATTCAAGAATCTGGTGATTAAAAAGGACAAACTTTCGATACTATTCCAGCATCTTCCTGAAATTTGAATAAAGTATAAAAAAAATGTTTCAAGCCATATCCAAGTTAGATTTACATTGATACAACTAAACGATCATACCTTCGCATTCTCCACTACTTCTGTGACATAAAGTGTCTTGACAGTTTTCAGGACAAGACTGGTTACACTCAGTGCCATAGAAGCCGGCTTCACATTCTAGAAAATTGAAACACGTTTAATTTCCTCCCAGAATCTGAATTAAATGTCATAATATCATTATCTTTTTGTTCGTAATATACAAATCTAGATGTTGTGGTACATGCATCAGAATAGTTACCATCGCGAATCAAATATTTGATTATCAAATAGATCAATTACAAACATATTTGCTTGGTCATCTGAAGTTAACATTATTTCTCAATCACAGCATACATGTAATTCTACGATACAATTATTGTACGTTTTGACTATCATGATTTTCTTAATAAAGATTGACACCTATCGCTGCATTATGTACACACAAATTTATATATTGCGGTTATGCTAGGAATAGCATTATCTTATTAGGAAACCAATCTGTGGTATTGACATTTATACAACATTAACGAAAAAGTTCTACATGTATGTCGTTATTTTAAGATAATAAGTCCAAATTTGTTTTAGAAGTAAGCTGTTCGATTATTGGGTGTGCCTTAATTCAGGTCGTGATACAAGCTAATCATATGCTGTATTAACGAATTAATTTACTGGTAACTACGAGATTGTTGGTCCAAAATCTTTTTTGCTAGAGGTAATAATAGGCTTGCACAGATATTTGATGCATCTTGTTATCTGTATGGTTATCATAATTTACCAGGTACATGTAAAAGTTTTTGATTAAATGATGTATGTATTATCTATACATTGACCGTTGTCTAGATTACAGACGTTGTTCCTGCAATTAATAGGACAAAGCTGGCTACACAAACTGTCATATATTCCAACAGCACAATCTGAAAACATCGGTTAATAAGTCACCCGATTTATCGACAAAAATGGCTAGTAAATAGAGAGTATTAAACAGTGTCTGCATACTCGTAAAAAATATCAAAATATATGACACACACGTAAAATAAAGTTGGTATTACTAAAGATACTGTAAGATATTCTATTTATTTCATTTTTTTACGAAAATCTATCTCAGAACGCGAAGCGACACATCAAGCTGACAATACTCCATCTATGTCATTTATATATGCCAAAAAATATAGTCCTCTCTGCAAAATAAAAAAAAATGTAAAAACTCATTATTAAAATCCTTTAAGAAGTTATTTTAATCAGGTAGATACTTAGTTCAATTTTTTCATAAAGAGTGGCAAATGACTATAGTAATTTAATCATTAAAATAAAAGTCCCGTCATATCAACTCAGATCGCCACGCGTTGTTGATAAGCGCCGAATCTCATGGTTGGGAGTGGGGAAAAATCAGAGTGGTTTTGTCAATACTTATTCTGTTTATATAATATCAACACTACTTATGAAAGTTGTAACTAATCACTGTCAAAGATGACCATGATTTTCTTATTCTTTCTGCCGATCGGTTAGCCTAACTTGAAACTTGGAGACGCTGACACCGTGTTTCAATTCACATAAGTTTCCTTTGATCACATTGTTAAAATCACTGGCCTGCATAATCTGCTGGCTTCCATTTATAAAAATGAAAGCTACCTGTGGAATTAAACGCTGTGCTTCCCACAGAGAATAGTTTACCCGTGATAAATATGTAGGTAACAGTTTATTAATCTAGACAGTAGAATGTCTCAGACGGATTTTCACGAGCCCTGCGTATCGTTAAGTTAACTAGGCTTTGAATATTTGGGTCACTTCTATAATGCCAGGTCTTCTGATTGGTATGTTATTCATGGCAGTTTATAATCAGTGTTTTATTGGTCAAATAAGCATTTGTGATATTTTTCATCAGTGAAAACATTCACTTTTGTGGAATAAATATTTTTCAATATATCTCATTGGTAAGAATGTAAAAATATAATATATTACTCTTACAAGCTATAACATGTGGATTGAGCCCGGAGGCTGTGGTTCGTGTATGTACGTGTGTAGGCCAACGTATATTATTTCTTTTATATTGTTGAATGTTATCTCGATATTATGAAATCACTATCATATGACAACAGTACAATTATGTTAACTATTATAAAATTAACGTCTACAACTCATCGTAAATGTCCTTTCATTTCTCATCAATGTTTCATTAGCAAGAATTAGCTTTTCTTACCTGTGCACTGGCCGTTCTCTATGTTACAGACGTTGTTTTTACAGTATGCAGGACAAGACTGGTTACAGAAATTGCCATAGGATCCAACCTAACAATCTAATAATAAATATTAAAAAGCCATAATGAAATAAGTGCATCAAAGAGTTTCATATATATATATATTACTTATCGTAAACTATTGAATAGTCTCCTCACAAATTCATAAATAGACACACGTTATTGAATTGAAAAAGCAAATGCTCGTTGATGATATCACAAGTAAAACACACAGGGCAAATATTTGTTTTATCATTAATATGAAGATCAGTTACTGAAATTTAATATCCTTACGGAAACAATTTCCTGCCGTTTTGTCGCATGTGTCAGTGCTACAGCCAACAGGACAAGGTGAACAGGCTTGTCCGTAGAATCCATCATTACAGTCTGAAATTATAACATTTATAAAAAGCTAGCACTGCACATAAAATACTCCACGGTGCACATGCAAAATGACTCCTGCAGGAACCCATGTATTACAGTTCGATAATGCATGGTCTATATAATTGATCAAATATGCATGTATCCTTTCTATAGAAATAGACAATCTTTTACCAAAGGCTTATACTGTTCAAAGCAAGACAAGATAAACGTACACATTAAACAAATTTATCTTTTATAATATAACTTATATGTAAATTTTGAATTTCAGGGGTCATTTTGAAATTTGCATAAAATTTCTTCGAATTACATATAATAAAGTTTCAGGATACAACATAACTTTGCGTTACATGTTCGACACAATCATGTCTAGAAGTAGCATTTGTCTATATAAACAATTTTGAAATTAAATGCTTTAGTGTCAAAATTAAATACATATACACATATTGATATCTCTTTTGCAGATGCGATATTGGACGAAAAATCTACTTTGATTCTTCTTATTATAAATTGCATTGCTTGGTGATAAATATCGCACTGTTTTGCCTATTATTTATAAGCTAGTTGTAGACAACTATCAATTTGGAATAGTTCCTTAAAAGTAACAAAAACCAGTAAAATATGGTATTCATTGTATCCACAACAACATCATATTATGTACAAACAGCGAATCATTAGTATAAAACTAAATCTTTCATCATTACAGATTTCATTTAATAATAATAAAACTACTGAACATAACTAATAGCAATCTGTTCTTAGATATCTTTCTCTAGCAAATTATAAACGACGCCGCTAGAAAACCATCGATCAGTAATCACTATGATGTAGATAAAAATATGGGTAAAGGTATATCAATATTTTCAAGGAGCCCAGTGGTTTCCTGAAAGTTGATCATGATACTTCATACTTAAACAAGTTCCTGACATTTTGTCGCATGTATTACTGCTACATCCAACATGACAAGGTGTACAGGCTGGCCCGTAGTATCCATCATTACAGTCTGAAAATATTGCCATATCCAGTATGTTGTAGTACCGACCTAAATAATGATTACGACTATACAACTGAATGTTGAATGATCACTCTGTCTGATAATCTTTGACTCATAGAATACATCAACTTGAATGATTTATAAAAACATTCAAATATACAAGAGTTGACTTCAACTTCTTACATGGATAAAGTGTATTTATCTTAGATCGCAGGGTTCTTTGATGTTGTTTTTAATTGTATTGATAAGGATAGTAGTGGTTGCAGGAATGTAACCTTTGTATATCCATTTGAAAATTTAAATCTAATTCCCAAGTCCTTTCAAACTGCTTCACTATGAAAGTGGTGTGCATTTTGTATTACAAAATGTCCTTACGCAAGTTATTGTTAGTACAGCAGTTCACTTACTTGTGTACTGGTCAGTTTGTCAAGCTGTGACTAACCTGTATAACGATGTGATGAAATTATTGACTTGTTTTGTCCTTCAACTGCCTGGCATTTTCCCTATCGATATACACTGTACCGAATAAGGTGCTGGTTGGTTGTAGATATATCCCCATATCCCGTTTAAATCAGTAGTGGGTTAAACAGATGATTATTTGATGATTTATTTTACAGCTAAACAACAAATCGCTCGATAAAGGGACCGGTCGGTCTTGAAACGTTGCGACACGTTTGATACGTTCATTAAATGCATTAATGAGTAAGACACTTTTGTAGATACATACTCTCCAATTGATGAATGTTGTTTGACGTTTCTTAAATGTGAATTTTATAAATATCACGTTTAGATTTTGTCTTTCTAACAAGTTACAACGTTGTCATTTTTGATTATTGGAAGTTTTTCTTACCTACACATTGACCGTTGACCATGTAACAAACGTTGTTTTTACAATGTACAGGACAGGACTGATTGCAAAAACTACCGTAAAATCCACTATCACATTCTGTAAAGAATTTAAATAAATATGCAGAAGACAGAAACTTGAGTCGATGTAGTCGATATTTATAATGAACTACATTATTATTCTCCAATAGCTTCCGATACCACACTTATAAAAACAAGCAAGAAGCCAATAAGGCCTGTTTCTCTCATTTGTTTTCAAATTTGATCTTCACAGTGGGTCATCGCAATCTGTTCAAATAGGCTTAATTTCATTTATATCTATATAATAGGTTTCATTATACAGATTTAATAACTGTACAGTACAATGTAGCTTTTATCACAAAAAAAGTAATATAAGCTTTCAAATGTTATTTAACTGTGATATTTCCAATATAACCACAAATTTCATCTGGGCGAAATAGCTAACTTATTTTGTTATGAAATCACCTTTACTCAACACTCAGACAGCGATACCCCACGTCATACCCTATGACAGATTTTCTATATCATCCGATCTGTCTTGTACATTAACGTGACATTTAGCCGAATTTTTACAATGCGATGTATTCCTCCGCACGTTTACTGCTTGCAATTAACAATCTGCATGATACATGTTCTGTTTTTGTCGTTATATGTAGTTTTGACGTTGTTAGATATTTGATGTTGTAGATACAATATAATCTGTGAAATACGTTGTTATCTATGTAAGGACGGACTACATTTTTATGCGGAAGCATTCAAATGTAGATTAAGTAGTAAAAGATGCGAGAGAAAAAATAAATTACCTGTAACTGAGCAAGATCGGGTTATCTAAGTATCGGGCTAAGATTCTGTAACATCCTTATCTCGGCTTACGCCTCGGTTGGGATTGTGTTACATAATCTTAACCCTCGACTGAGATAACCCGATCTCGCTCAGTTACAAGTAATAAATGCTATTAATCTCTCTTCGAATTAATCTCATTTCACTATGATCGCTGCTATTGCAGGTTTATATAACATTTAAGACATATTACATGATCAGTAAAACTCCGTTTACACCTAAATTAATTAGCTCAACTTCTTAACATTATCTATGGGGTTTTTCTCATATCACATTGCAAACAGGACAACGTCATAAACCACAGCAAACTTGTCAGCTTTTTATCCCATGTAATCTTTAGGACCAGGGGAGCTCACAAATGATTGATTGCCGCAACAAGACAAGGACTGATACTGAAGTGTCAAAACCAACGATATCTCATAGTTGTTTGGCAGCTTATGTCATTGTCATGTTATTGACTTTACTATGGAACTGTTTGTGTTTTCAAACCAATTATGCATGTATTGCTGTAACTTTTTTTAACTTTATAGAACATGTTGTTCATTGCTTTCAACCAGCATTTGATCATTGAAAAAGTCTGTAATGCAATTGTACAAACCCGCCTCCCTCATCATTTATTTAAATGATGATAATGATATATAACGGAATATAGTTGATTTAAATCAATCTGTTTCAATACCCCTGCATTTTATCCAATATAAAAAAAATACATTTGGAGACACAGCAGTCGGTAACCAATATAACGTAGAAGATAAAAAAGTGTTAAAGAAAAAAATTGCGATTGTCAAATGCGGCAAGACAATATAATACTTTTTTACGTTTCACATTATGCATGAACTTCTTCATATTCAGTATCAGAAAGCAGCGTCTTTAGTTTTGTGAATGAACATCAGTTTGTTTTATCTCTAACTTGAGGTATTTACAACGCCTACAATTTGTAATCGAGTGTATCGTAACTTTAAGTGTTAGAACCCCAGTGATGTCTTCAAAACATCATTGATCATAAACACTACTTACGTAAACAATGGCTGGTAGTTTTGTCACATGCGTTACTGCTACAGCCAACAGGACAAGGTGTACAGGCTAGTCCGTAGAATCCATCGTTACAGTCTAAAATAGTATCATTTATTATATGATTTATCCGGTTTTATTACGGATTTAAAAATTATACAATCAAAACTAAAAAAGTCTGTTTCAGAAATAAAATTGAAATATCAAAATGTAGAATATTGATTTCTTCATTTCTTTTATTTATATCCCAGCAGTCATTATAATGAACTTGTCACTTAAACTGCTTTATTAAATGAAGTTGCTCGGAATATTGACCATTATCTTTGTATTACAATACTATTAAATGATTACCTGTACACTTGCCAGTAGGGCAGTCAGTGCTCCTACAATTGAATGGACATCTACAGTATACGCCTGAAAAGCCAGTGGAGCAGCCGTCTGGAATGTACCAGTCCAAATGATCCCTTGTTGATAATAAACGGGTAATAGTTGCGCACTTAATATGAAATTGCTCTTCTTATTTTGGCGAATGCATTGTGTATTATTAATTACTAAATTAATTGCTTTCAAGATTACTCAGTACAACACGTAAAACAATTTTTTAATCATTACTGATTTCCCTTCAATTCGATCGAATCTTTTTAATTACCCTTCTCAATTCCTTGACTGAAGAGTAATAATATTTCATGATTTTTCAAGACTGCTTTCTAATTGTTTCGTCACCGACCTCGACATTACATTATACAGTTGTGGGATTGCACAACGTTACACGATGTGCGGTGTGCGCACGATGTGTGCACGGAGTGTGAACGATGTGTGCACGAAGTGCGAACGATAAAAAATTGGACGATCATTGCTTGCGCACATTTGTGAGGACGATCGACGAACGTTGTGCGATAACAATCGTGGTTGATGTAAATTGAGGAATGGCTAAACAATATATACGGTTTGGTGTTTAAACATATAAACTTGATTGTTTAGTATGTTATTTAGTATGAATACACTAATCTTTCTGTCTACACTTAAATTTAGAAATAGTGTGTTCGGTGTTTTTTAAACGACCTTAATCGACACATGTAACATTACAACACAGTCTCGGCAACAAAGGTAAACATAGCCACTTTCTACCTGAACCGTAGTTTTTCCCCGCCCGGGGCACTTACGTAACTCGCCAACGTGTGAAAACCAGGCGAAGGGGAGCTATAGATCAGAACGAATGCAAATAACAAATACTCAACGTCAAGTTGTGTATTCATAACGGTCATACGGTTACTCAGCAAATTGTTATTTCCCTGTTGTGTTACCTAGCTAGGAGCCAAATCCATTCTTGACAGTCTAACGGTCACTGTATACTGTGTTACACGCATTGTAAAAGTGTAGGTTATCTTTATTACTGTGATGAAAAATTACAGTAATATGAACAGTGTACATTATTGCATACGAGTTTTCCGGGGTTTTTTTTATTCCATAATATTGATCAACAAATTGTACCAAATCGTAAAGTTGTGCGGAGAGAAGCGCACAACGGGACGAACGATGGTTAAATCGCACAGTTGTGCGCAGAATTGGTGGACGATGTGCGGACTGTGTTTGAACGATGTATGCACGGTGTGCGCACGGTATTTTTGGTGCGTTGTGCGGTCACACACCTGTTCGTGCGCACTGACAGGTATAAATAACCTCATTCAACCTTGTTTCAAAGGCAGTGAATATATGGGGTCTCTGTAAAACATCATTCCAGAATAACCTAAATACGTTGTGAAGAAATAAGCAAAAACAATACCTTATTTAATACCGATCTGTTCCTTGCTAGTATTACACAAGAACAACCCAACCTAGCATACAGTTAACCACACATGGCCTCGGACCAATACCAGTCTAATAAAAGTTAAATCATTTCTTTAACACTGAAAACTAATTTATATGATTCTGGATTTTTTGTTGTTCTATCTAATTAAAAAATAGAAAATTAAAAACAAAAAAATGGAAAAAAAATAAACATAACAAAACCAATAAACATAACCGAAACTCAACAATAACAAAAACAAAATGAAAAATGTACTAATTGTGGTGAAGGAAAGAAACGATATTGTCGCTACAATGGGAACTTTTTTGGGTTATGCATGGAGTGTTTGCGATATCAATCACTCAAACACCCAGTATTGTTGCTTGTGATCATTATAGTGGGACATAAATATCAAAGATCCCCATCGGGAAGATGGGGAAATATCTTCCTTGCTGTGTAATAAATCATTTTATATTATCGTATAAATAAACATCATCTCTTATTATACGTGATCAACAAATATCTTTAACTTGAGAATGCCTCTTATAGCTAAATATATCTGAAATGCGTTGACTTCGATGCGACGTTTTGGCATCCCTTTCATTAAAGGTGTAACAAGGTTGTTTAAACTTAAGCAGACCATCAGGTTAGATAACCACATATCCGCGGAGCAGAGATTTCTCTGTAATACCAACCATAAAAGTAGGGGGTATTAATATTTCCCATATCATTTTAATACTATACTTAAAACAGTGATTTTCAACAATTTTAATTTTAATTTCTACTTACGAAAGCCGACTGTGACGTGAACGGAAACTTTAAAATACCTGTGCACTGACCGTTGTCCATGTTGCAAACATTATTTCTGCAGTTAAGAGGGCAGGGTTGATTACAGAAACCACCATAAAATCCAAAATCACAGTCTGAAAAGAAAACAAAATAAAAAACCAAAAGCAAAACTAAAATGTTATCCCTCAATGTGGAAATAACAAATACATTCTTTTGCAATAAGTTTGACTTTGTTTTTTCAGTAGGGTCAGTGATTATAATGAGATATAACAAGAAATTAATTATGATTCTTCCACAAACAAATCCCAACCTTTGGGATATGATAAGATGATTTCTGTGCTTCGGCCTGTCGTTTTGGTCCTTTTGCAATAAGTTTGACTTTTTTTCAGTATGATCAGTGATTATAAAGAGATATAACAAGAAATTAAACATGATTCTCCCACAAACAATGATTGGGATATGATTAGACGATTTCTGTGCTTCGGCCTTTCGTTTTGGTTCTTTAGCCAGACTACGAATACATCCAGGACCTCGCCCATTATTCCCCTTATTATAAAAAGATGCACCGATCTGAGTTTAAATATTGTTTCCATATAAACTGATACAAAAACAATGATGTAATGTAAATGTTGAAGAGCAGATAATCTCGATGACGATAGTAATCAAACTGCCCTGATAGTTGAGCACTTTAACCGCATAACAAATGTCAGATTTTTTTCAAACTTTGGCGTTGCAACTTAGGTAGAATGTTTAAAATGGACATGAGTATTATGTAGGAAATAAATGACAGAAGTAGACCATATAAAGTACTAAGCACTTCTGTATCCTGGTACTTTACTTCCCCAGTTGTAAAATGTCCTATATCAACAATTTGTAGTAACTACTCACATGTACAAGATCTCTTAGTAGAATAGATAGTTTGCAAGCGCTGTGTGCTTCTTCAGCAAACTGCACCATGAAATTGTAACAAACACCTCAGTACAACTGTTTGACTTTGCTCCCCGACAAGGTCCCCGAGACAAAAATAAAGTATGTGTATGCATGCGTCAGTATTGCTTACTGTCTGATAATTGTTGTTATTATACCTCTACTTTATTACTCTATATAAAAGTAATTGGTTAAATCGAATATATCCCCACTTTTGCCTGACTGTGTGTTAGTCAAGTGTGTGTTAGTCTGGGAACCAAAACACAGCTCCTGAACTAAAACACACCTACACCCGAGTTTTTCCGCCGAGCCAATCAGGCGAGAGGTGGGCGGAGCTTGTCACCGAAATCGGAACCGACGCATGAGGCGGGCGGAGCTTGCTACTGAACGCGCATCCTATTGTGCAGACAACACTTTCTCTTGTTTCTTCAATTATGGCGCTGTCAAGATTTTCGGAACTGGATGAAAGTGATCTTAAGACTCCCCTCGAGGAAAGGGACCGGACAGTACCAAAAAGACTAGTTGGGACGTGAAGCTATACAGCTTATGGTTTACAAATATTTTCTAGTTAAAACGATCTCTCCAGTGTGTATCGGTATAATAAAATGGTTAAAGTTTGGGGTTGAGGGATAAAACATGTTTCTGGTGTCCCTTGACCATGCCTATTTCCCTCGGCTTCGCCTCGGGAAATAGACCTGGTCTCAGGGGGCGAGGGGTAGCGCTATGTCGTACCTGAACATGCTCCAGTTGGACTGTCACATACATTTCCTTTACAATTAACCGGGCAGTGACTGCAATTCCCAACATCTTCATAGTATCCGGCAGCGCAATCGTCTGAAATCGTAATTTAATGAATTGCTACGGATACAAATGGGTTACCATGCGTATCTAACTTTCGTTGGTTTATTTTCTAATTGTATAAATACACAAAATCGACCGAGTGTCTTTTACAGTTTGGCAATTAACTAACGATAGTTAGATAGACATGATAATCAACTATAACGAGTATGGGGACCTTTATCTTTAACATCATTCAGAACTCATGTCTAAAAAAATCGTATGTTTCTCATGTGAATACATTATTCCTTTTCTGATCGGAAAAGACAATTGACATAAGCTTTGACGTCACAATGGAATATATGACGTCCCACTACTTTAACAATTACTCTAAGGTATCCGTTTTAATGTTTTATACAATAGGAACTATTCTTTGTAATTATATCGCTCTAATGATAACCAGTCATTACGTTTTCTTCATGTGCAGTTAGCCACGCCACATTCTATCTCACAGATGGACGGACACGGGCATATACTCAGATGGACCACGCCCAGCACTGAATGTTTGTGTATATGCTTGTAGATGTAGTGATGAAAACTAAGGAAGAATATTAAAAGGATGACGCAGGCATCAAAACCAAACTGTCATATTAGCAAACTATACAATTTGTGGTCGCTTGTTGTGTCAGGTTACAGTCTGGTGGACAGTTGGTTCATCAAAGTATGAACGTATCAAGAGCAATACAGACACTATAAGGTTGAACATTTACATGTTGTGAAATGTCTTTTGAATTCATTTTGATATGTATACCGTTGTGTATTTTATGTCTTACAAGGTTGTTTGCGCTATTATCGGATCCTAATACCAAAGTCCATATATATTATAGAAAAAATTATCTACATTGTACAAGGAGAATGTCGATATAATAGACTGAAATATATGACGATGAAGCAAATTTAATATACGATAATTTATTGACGAAGGTTTTTGATGGATTGAGTTTATAGATACAAATTAACTGTTAAATGCTATTCCCAACATTTTATAATTAAATATTATCCCATTTACTCTGAATGTAGAAGGTTTCCTCCGTCCTGTGTCCGTTGTGACCAAACTGAGAAATGTCTTCTGTTATGACATTTAAAGTACGAGTCTAAACCGTATAATTTGTTGTATACAGTGAAAACATTCAGGGTTCTGACAACAATACCTTCCAATACGCAACAGCTTTAATGTAGTACTAAATATTTGTCGTACTTTACATGTACCTTGGATCCTTAGCAACGTTGATTTTTAACGGCGATTTGACGGCACAACAAAGTGAAAAAGTGCCGTTTTATTTTCATAAACGGTGCGTCGCTGTTTGGTCGTGCGACAACGTTCCGTTTAAGAAAAGTAAATGGCGCTATTTTGCCTTTCCACGCAACAAGAAATGCGAAAGACAACTGTTGTGCAAAAAAGAACTGTATTTTTTTCGCTAGATCGTTTTTTCGCGTTACTTTGAAACCGAGAAAAGCGCAATTTATCCTCTCATGTATTTATATGTACCACATGTTCCCGATGTTGGGTTACATATGTTACCGAGGCAGTAAGTGCAGTCGTTATTGCAATTTCCATTTCCGTACTTCCCAACTGGACAACCTGAAGGAGGATTGAAATTTGAACATTGTTTTGATGTGAATGCATGCTTATCTACATGGTTAAGGTAATAGTTATTACTTTTAAAGTATAAGGGACACACGGTTTAATTTAAGTGGAATGTGTACTTGTGGTATTGGAAAAAGTTCTTTAAACGACTTACCGTGACGTTAGGAGTGGAGTTGGTGGGTATAATATCCGAATCTCTGAGAGTTACAATTATTTATCGCATATACAATGTTATATACATATAATCTTAATGAACAAAGCAGGTTTAATGATACCTTTTAAGCGACTTAAACTATCAATACCAATGCAAAATGGTGTATCACTACAGGTGCGTTCCTAACATCTTTTTTTTACATTTTTATGCTTGAATGAAACTTATCGAAATGTCGCCTTAATTGTACAAGGTTGTATTTGGATAAAATGGTTATTAACTGGATGCTATTTCTTTCTTAAACAGGTCATTTTTAATTCATCAAAAGTCAAATACCTGCTGTATTTAAGCGTTATTTTTCCTTAATCATGATTTCATTATGTAACGCATACTTTGACACAATGGGAAACATGTTCCCAATGCATACTCTTGTTTGTTTGATATTGTTGGAATCCTGAACTTTTGATATTACCGGTTTAGAGATATCTTAAATCAATGGCACAATTAACACAAGATAAAATGTAAAATATTTGTGTTACATATCGCATTGTTAACAACAAGACGAATCCATAATGGGTTTTGCAGACGAATACAACATACCACATCGACTAGCACAAGAGCATCAAATAATATAACTTGCTATTCTTTGCTACATCTTGGAGGCAGAGTGACGCACTGATAAAAGACAGTGATAATGAGTCGCAATATTTCTATTGAAATAGTTTATCTTTGACATCATTTTACATTCCATTTATAATGTGTACACTTGTAGTCGTTTACAAAAAAAAGAAATGATAATGTTAAAACATACTAATTATGGAAATGAATAAATAAAAATAAAATAGATACTGGTAAATTCTTATCTAACATTCAACAATTAAAAATAAATCCGTTTTTAAAGATTGTATTACATTTTCAGTCAAGTTTGTAAATTAGTTAAAACCATGTCATATTTTAATAAGAATATCCATATTTCTGAACTGTCATATTTAATGTTAGCTCATCATCAACTCTCACTTCACACAGTTCCAGTATAGGATGATATGTTAGTGACATCCATAGTTTATCACTGTGATAGACATGTGTAAACTCACCATAAACTTGTACCTCACACAGTTCCAGTGTAGCATCATCCGAGTACCACGTTTTGGCTTTTTCTCGACGGTCATTGTAGATGGTCAGATACTTGGCGACACCTGGACATTGGGCATTCTGTATCGCAGACATGAACGCCTTGTCAGCAGTGGCGTCCTTGTGACACCTGTTTCCTGATGTCCAATCTTGTGTATTAGACAGGTATATCTCGTACCCAGCAAGTCGTTGTATTGTGTTCTCATCTACAAAAAAGATATACTATATACTGTAGTTCAGTTATTGAGTCAAGTTTTGACGATATACCTAAGATTCAGCTTCAAATGGTTTAAACGGATAACAAATCTGTGGCTAGATGCCATTACTAATTCCTTTATTGCTAGCTCTCGTGGTGTGTTTCTGGGAATATGAGCATTTTAAGAAATATATATGTACCACCTTTTGTTTCATGTTGTTCATCATTTTAAAGATATTTCAGTATGATTCAAAATTATGTGTGAATCACGACAGTGAACCTTTAGTTAAAACAGGTATTAAAATCATTAAGCGGTACCTTTTAACCCTTATTTAAACAACTGACATTGACAACTGACAACTGACCCTCTTGAAAGCAATCTCTCTTTCATATTCTCTTATTTCAAATAATTTCCCCTTTTGTGTCCTGCCTTTAAACACCTGGCGGACAACATTCTTCTTTTATGGACCACTTGATACCTCATGGACAACCAGGTTGAATATTGGGAACGACGAGTTCCCTTTGAAACATTTTAACACCGAAAAAAATCTCAGCTCCGAGGTCAGCTGAATTTCTCCTTTCTATAAGAATTGAATCAAGTTTCGTCACAGAGAGCATACTATTGTATAACGAATTTGGTAAGAAATATGTTTACATTGCATATGTGTATACCCATATGACAATGAAGCCTTGGATAAGATTCCGAGATACTCTCAAAGTTTCGGACCGTATCCCTTAGCTACTCCTTAAAATATCAGTACATTTGACTCTAAACGCTCATCAATTTATGTTTATATATATATTATAAAAAGAAAAAATCTCAACAACGAATCTTTAGTACTTTCATCTCTTGTTAGGAGTGTTACATGTAACATAGGTAAAACAGGTACATTTCGAAATGCAGGCTAAATATTTGAAACCCAGAAGTTAACAAAACGTGTGATAAGAACATGAAAGCAAGAACTACATGTACGTGTTAAACATTTCAATATATATATATATACGGCCATGACCATGATAGAGGAGACATTAAGTCAATATTCACTTAGGTAAGATTAGTTAAACTAAAATGTATTTGATGAAATGTGTTGCATATAAAGAGCATTAAATCCCTATCTGACAACTGTTCACCGAAAGTCAATTTGTTACCAAACCTATCAAGTTACTTAGGAGTGTTACATGTTACATAGGTAGAACAGGCATATTTCGAAATGCAGGCTTAATATTTGAAACTAAAAGGTTAACAAAACGTGTGATGAGAACATGAAAGCCAGAACTAAGTGTTAAACATTTCAATTCAAATCTCGCAGGCGCCCCCATCATCCCATCCAACCACACGCACTGAGATGAAGTGAAAAATGAAGTGATTATTGATTCAGAGAAAGTAAAAAAGATGTGTCGAAGGTAAAAAAAAGTCACGTGCGTAACCAATTTGATGGATAAGTAAGCAAAAAATCAACGTATGTGCGTGTGAAAAATGCTAGAAAATGGTAACGAACAAAGGCCGCTTCTAGATATTCTCCAGCTTCATTTCACTACAAGCTGTGCGTTTTTTTTTTATCATTTCTAAACCTGTAGACAGTTCAATTTAACCTGGTATATTTGTGAACATTTTGTTTTCTTTTAATTTCTATTCACCGTTTGTTCAACGATAAACAATAAACACTTTCTTCATGCTTTTTGCGAGCTGTTTATTTTAGTTAATCAAATCCGTAATACATCGACATCAGAATTTGACAAATTTTCAAATACTATTTCTCATCACTTTCGCGGTAAGTTCT